AGGTTGAGTTCTTGTGGGATAAACTTTGGTCATTTTTTGAAGATATCAGTCCCACCACTTGTCAGCTTTTCTGTCCCTCCAAGAATATCTGCAAAGCCGTATCAAACCGATCTACTACTTCAACTTGCCGAAGCTATCTATTTTTCTCATTGCTCAAAAGTTGCTCTCACTCTCGCTCTCTAGCTCCCTTCTGTCTCTCGTTCCGCATTCTACCCAACTTCTCATATTATACATATGGCCAATGAATTTTTCTTATGATCTACTGGATTTTCCGATTAAAGGGTAACATTTCAAACGCTTTCTACATATGTATATATTTCCCTCTATTCCTCAAAGTTGTAAGGCTGTCTTGTTGAAACCTGGCCTAGATTTGTAGCTGGGCGTATCAGACTATTGAAACATAAAGTTGTCGTTGTCAAAATCTCTATCCCAACAATTAAGCAAAGATATAGATATATCATAGAATCGACCGATCCGATTGTGTTTGTGCATCTTTCTTATTTAAGCTAATACCTGTGCATTCTGCGCTTAACACTTCCATACATTATATTCATATAGATTTGTGTGTTTCTATGTGTATATAATTTGTATTTTGATACGTATACGCCATGTTGTGATGCCTACCTTTTCGTTGTCTCAATTTTACTGATAATGGCCGCACATGGATTTGGCTTAGGTTAGGATTTCAAATAAAAAAGTTTATTATTATTGCTGCTGCTGCTAACTGGATGATTGGATGATTGGGGAATCGGTGGATTGCACATTATAAAATATCAAGTTGTGTTATTAAGTGTGTGTAGTGCCACATAACAGCACTTGTTTATTCCATACACACAAGCCTTGATTATATCACCTCAAATATCAGTACATTGGTTCAAATTCAATGCAACTGCTTTTATGAGAAGTAGCACCCACTAGTGACATTTTTTACAATTGTTTGCCTGTTCCTATGCACTCCAGTAATTTAGTCTAAATACAGTTTTTTTGTAAATTTTTGATAAACATTAAAGTTAAAGTTCTGTTATCCTTCGTTGAATTTGAATACAATCGCAACTTCTAGCACTATCTGGTTCTAATAAACGCTTACTTTACAATGAGCTCGACTCAATTTTAATTGGTTTTTCTGACAAGCATTTCTGCTCTTGAACTAGTTCCCTCAGCCATGAACTAGTCGAACCTTTTTAAGGTTTTTAGTTTCGATATATTAAAAAAAGGTTATTCTCTCAGCTTAACCTCTTGGAAAAGTTGACTTAACTATAAAACGGAACTAGTTCTTTATGCACAGCTGTGCACCTCAATGCTCGTATGCGACAACATTTTACCCTCTCGAAAAATATCACTGAACCATTGAACGGAACTAGTTCTTAATGCATAGGTGTATACTTCTACGATTTTATGTCCGATTTTCTTATGCATCAATAGCTTAAGCTCTTGAAAAGTTCACTAAACTATAAAACGGAACTAGTTCTTAAGTGCATAGGTGTGCACATCTATGAAGTTATATCTGATTCTCGTATGCGACAATAGAACTCACCGGAAATGCCTGCAATCAATTTGCATGCGAATGAACTAGTTCATTGGCCAGCATGAAATATTTGCTGCACATCGATATAATTCAAATACAGTTCGGCTTCCTGGACGCTCTCGATCGCCACTTGCATTTCAATCAACACTCGATTGACAGCGCGTATATATGTTTGTATTTGTATTTGTGTTCGTGTTTGTTTCGTACATTATCTCTCACTCTCGCTCTCTCTCTCTCTCTCTCTCTCTCTCTCTCTCTTTTCTCCCTCGCCCTCTTCCCACTTTCCCAGTTTGATTTGAATTTTTCACGTTCCTTTATTTTTTGTGCTTGATTCTCGTCATTTTGATTGGAATTTTGAAAAGATTATGATGTCGTGCCTGTTTACATTAGTCGCATTTTATACTGTTGGGTGTACACGATTTGATTGATAATATTTATGTCTACACGAATTTATGAAATTATTTTATTATTATTTTTGTTTGTATATAAGTACAATAAACCCAAAAGCTTTCGATAATATTAAATCAAATTGTATACAAATCAGAGTACAAACAAATATTGTAATTAAATCAGGACATAAAACAGCATATATGAAATGAATATGCATATGCATATATGTATATATACTTATATTTGTATGTGTATATGTATGCACCTATATATATATATATGTAGATCGCGTCATGCCAAGAAAATGCTCAACTATCTGGATGATATTGAGCCGGACTCATCGGCATCATTTGTGGATGAACTGGCCACGCCACCCAGCAACGATGAGGACACGGGCTTTGGCACGGACAGCAACCAGGCAACTGCCTCAGCAACAGCAACAACAACGGCAACAACAACACAAACGGCAACGCTCAGCTCCGAGCTTTTTGGCGGCCTCTTCAACACAACGATGAGCCACAAGGCCACCGATGTGGTACTTACCGTGCAACATCAGCTGCATGAACAGCAGCAGCAACAGCATCATTTCCAGCAACAACAGTCGCAGCCGCAGCAGCAGCATCAGCAGCAGCAGCAGCAGCAGCAGCAGCAACAACATCAATTTCACTATCCCGGATTACATTTGCAGCTCCAGCAGCAGGAAAGCAGCAGCGGGGCGGAAAGCGGGAGCGGAGGAGGACGCGGTGGCAAGCATCTGAAACGTCGGAAGCTCGAATGCAATCAAGTGGAGCTCGACAACGATGATGCCTGCAGCGAGGATGAGTTTATACGCAAAATTGCCACCGTTGTGGCCGACAGCGCAGCCAGCAGCAGCGAGGCAGGCAACATCGGAGCCATCGGAGCCAACATCGGCATTGCCAGTATTGGTGGCGCCACAGCACGTTGCATGTCCGCAGAAACTGTGAGCCACAGCAGCATCAAGATCCACGGCAGGAGCAGCACCAACAGCAGCAGCGAGCCAAAGTAAGAGGCGTTTTCTTTACGAACTTACGAACTTACGAAAAGAAAAAAAACAGAAACAAAAACCAAAGCTACAAACAACAGCAACAACAACAAACAAATTTGAAAAAGCAGTCTCCAAAGTGGAGACAACATTTTCGAAACATTTTCAAAATGGCAACAAAAAGGTGCTCACTAAATATGTTTTCTATGGACATTTTAAAACGAACGAATTTCGATGAATTTAAATGGCCACAAAGTCAAAATTTGCCTATAAATTTAACCATTTTTTACAAGCCCAACTATATATATAATATATATTTTATTATATATATCTAAAACGGCGACAAATTTTTTAAGTAATTCAAAAAAAAAACAACAAAAAATGTGTGCTTCATTTATACATTGATTTTTATGTACATATTTTAAATACCAAAAGAATTTTGAATATTTGTTTTGCACTTTAAAATGGCCACAAATTTTTATGTAATTCCATAAATTAAAAAGAAAATTACTTTAAAAATTCACAAATTTTTTTAAAAACAAACTTAATTAAAATATATTAAAATAAAAGGCAAAAAGCTTTGTGGTTTTGAATATTTGTCATTTTTGATGTTATTTTTTTTGTTGAGAATTGTATTAACACGTTTTAAATAATTTAATTCGTGAAGCAAAAAGTAAAATGTTTGAAAACGAATTTGTTTAAACTTTTTGTTCGTCTTTGTTGTTGTATATGCTATGTGTCTGTTATTTCTATCTCCCTCCCTCTCTCTCTCTCTCTCCCTCCCTCTATAGCTTTCTTGTTCGGTGCGTGTGTGTGTAAACAAAATGAATCGTTAACAATAGCAAAAGCAAGTTAAAAGTAGCATAAAACTCATATCAAAATAATTGTTTAAACAAAACAAAAACAATAGCTGCAAAGTGCAGCTCGTTGATTTTCCACACTCACATTTGTTGGCTTTTTCTTTCCATTGCTTTTATGTTCAAAATGAAAATCAAATGTTAAGAAAATGTTTTGTGTTTTGGTTATTTTGTATTCCCCGATTCCAAATTGCAAATATTTCGCTTTGCGTTCAATATTATGTACATAGCTCTATTTATTGTTTTGGGCACGTCTCTCTCTCCCCCTCTCTCTCTCTCTCCTCTGTGTGTGTATTATAAAGTCATATATCATTTTGCATCAAGTTTATTCATCCTGGGCCCCAGCACATGTAGCACTAAATTCTTTATCATAAATCAAGAATACGCATATCCAAAACACACGCATAGAATTCCATACCGTATACAATATTTACATATATATATATATATATATATATATCCAATATATATATATATATATGTATATATATACCATATATATATACACTACCGAAATTCGGAATTTTCTTATAGTTTCAACGCATCTGTACAGAGTCTAGAAAAAGTTCAAAGTACGCCCTTGCTGCGTTTTATGATCCCATAGACAAATAAACATCAAAATATGGCCACATTTTGTAGATTTGATTTGAGCTTTATTAGAATTGTTGGATGCCCAGCCTCCTTCTCTACCTCACCATAACACATAGTTTGTCTATTGAACTTTGACCTGTGAGCCACTAGCTTCAACTGTTTATTGATTGTGCTTCTTCCGCAAATTGTACAATTTCCCCAGATTCATTGGAACGCGCGCCGTGACCCGCGTGGCTAACAAAAGGCAACCAACGACACCATTGAACAGCATCGCCAGCTCCAATGATGGCCATGTCCAGCTGGAGATTGTCTCCCAACCAGAGCAACAGCATCGCGCCCGTTACCAGACCGAGGGTAGCCGCGGCGCAGTCAAGGATCGCAGCGGCAACGGTTTCCCCATTGTCCGGCTAACCGGCTATGAAAAGTCAGCTGTGCTCCAGGTGTTCATCGGCACGGACATTGGACGCGTCGCACCGCATATGTTCTATCAGGCGTGCAAGGTGGCTGGCAAGAATTCGACGCAGTGCAACGAGAAGAAGGTCGACGGCACCATGGTCATTGAGATTGATTTCAAGCCCGAAACGGACATGACCGTCACCTGCGATTGCGTTGGCATCCTTAAGGTACACACTCATAGAATTAACCAACTATTGTCTATCCAATCCTAAATCCAATCGCATAACAACTCTTCCTGCAGGAACGCAATGTCGATGTGGAACATCGTTTCCCGGAGCACCTGGCACAGAAGAATAAAAAGAAGTCAACACGTTGTCGCATGGTCTTTCGCACGCAGCTAACACGCGACGATGGCAGCACTGAGACACTGCAGGTCTGCTCCAATCCCATCATATGCAGTAAGTATTCACATTCTATGAAACCACTTTCCCTTTGGATCCATCAGATCTATCCAAACAAAGACCCAAACGCAGTTGATACTTCATATTTGCTACATATTTGGTTCGGTGGATCAATCCATTGCAACATTCCAGTAAACCAGCCCTGGTCTTCTAACCTTATCTAACCTAACTATCCACAGACCACTTATCCACGAACTCGGGAGTGATATTTCATTTCTTTCTATTTTTGTAGACATTTTATCCCTTTAATTAGATTGACTATTGGATAAATTTGTACTAACTTTGGTGGTTTTTTTTGTATTTCATAGCTCAGCCACCAGGCGTTCCAGAGATCTGTAAAAAATCACTCAACTCTTGCCCCGTGGATGGCGGTCTGGAGCTGTTCATCATTGGAAAGAACTTTTTAAAGGACACGCACGTTGTGTTCCAGGAGACCTACGACAGTGTCAATTCCGATGATCCGGCAGCCGAGATAGTGGGCCGTCAGCAGCTAATCGGTGGAACGGCAGCGCTTTGGGAACAGAGCGTGCTGCCCGACAAGGAGTACTTGCATCAGGTACGATATAAGGCACGGATGTACATATATCTCTATATATAAAACTGTTTGCCCTGACTGACTGACTGACTGATTGGTGATCAACGCACAGCCCAAACCGTAAGAGCTAGGAAGCTGAAATTTTCACTGTAGTTACCTTATGTGATGTAGGTGCACGTTAAGACGGGGTTTCGGGAAATTCCACTCGCAAGTGTGGAAAAATCGCGAAAAACGTTTGTATGTAACTTTTTGGTTTACCATCCCATCGGCCCCAAACTTATTTTCAAAGATCTTTGTTCAAATTCATTTGAGGGGTGTTTCACACTTTTCGAAAAATCCGTTCCTCCTTGGTGGAAATGGAGGTCAAAGATTTGGTGGGTGACGTTTCGCGCTAAAATTCATTTCCAGTGATCTATATGAAAAATCATTTGAGACGTGTTTCTCACTTTTCGCAGAATTCAAACTTCTTCGGGGGGAATGCGATTTAAAGATTTTTTGGGCGAAGTTTTAAGTTGTGTCCGATTTGCTTTAAACTTATTTTCAAAGCTCTCAATAAGAACTTAATGAATACGTATTTCGACGATTTGGAAAATTCCACCCGCAACAGTGGTATATTGGCGGAAAACGGTTGTATGAAAGTTTTTTGTTTACCATCTGATCGGCCCCAAACTCATTTTCAAAGATCTATATTCAAAATCATTTGAGGAGTGTTTCACACTTTTTGAAAAATCCATCCCTCCTTGGTGCAAATGTGGGTCGAAGATTTTGTGGATGACGTTTAGTGTTCAAATTTATTTCCAAAGATCTATAAGAAAAATCATTAGAGACGTGTTTCACATTTCTGGCAAAATCTAAACTCCTTCGGTGGAAAATGCATTTTTAAGATTTTTTTGGTGAATTTTAAGAGTTTTCCGATTTGCATAAAAGTTGTTTGATTCCCGTCCGATCAGTTTCAAAATCATTTTCAAAGCTTTTTTGATTTTATAACATACGTGCCACGGGTAAGGCCGGGTTATACCCGCTAGTATACATATAAAACTGTTCTAGCTAGGAAGTAGACATTTTTATTGAAGTTACCTTATGTAATGTAGCGGCATGTTAAGGCAGGATTTTTTAGAATTTCACCCAAGAGTGTGAAAAATTGGTGGAAAACTGTTTTTTAACTGTTTTGTTTTCCATTCAAACTCATATGAAAAATTATTTGAGAGGTGTTTCCTCCATTTACCAACTTCCACCCCTCCTGGGTAGAAAATCGTGGTCACATGATTTATAGTCGAAGTTTCGAGGGATCTTTATCAATATTAATTGGAGACGTGTTTCACACTTCAATCTACTTTTCCTGGGTGGAAAATGATAGTAAACGGTTTAATGGGCGAAGTTTGAGTTTTCGTCTGATCGGTTTTAAACTTATTTTTAAGAACTTAATGAATACGTATTTCATAGATTTCGCCAATTCCACCTGCAACCGTGGAAAATTGGCGGAAAACGGTTGCATGAATGTTCTTAATTTACCATCCGATCGGCATCAAAATCATTTGCAAGACCTTTGTGAAAAATATTTGTCTCGTCAATTATGGCTTCCACTGTACAAAAGCAATGTCTGCAATTTGAAAAAGAAAGCTCGCCCGTGGCAAAGTCGGGTGATACCCCCGCCATTATATACTACATATTGTAATAGTCTTTTATTTTTATCTATCTCTTTATTAATTTCACAATTTAGTCTCAGAGCACATTGACACACATCCGTCTTTTCTCAACACTGTCCATCTAGTGATGAGTAACTAGCTAAGATCATTAACAGCTGACTACTCCCTTATGCAGTACTGGATGTAACAGCCTGTTACAATATGTTTTATCTGAGATTTTCTTTTTTTTTTAATTTTTAGACACATTTGATCTGCACAGTTCCGCCATATCTGCATCAGAATCTGCTAAAGCCGGTCAGCGTACAGGTGTCAATCATCTCGAGCGGCAAGAAGAGCGAGCCGCACACCTTCACATACACCCCCAAGGGCAGCTATACGACTCTAGCGGCGGCCAGCACGTTAAGTAGCACAATGCATAGCCAAGGTATTTATTTGTTGACTATTTCTATACATATAAACACCAGCCCCCAAGCAGGCATCATGAACCATAAACGTATTAAGCGCGAAACTTGAGCATACCAATGCACAACACACACACCCATACAGACACACAAGCTCACAAACACGCAAACACACACACACACACACAGACATCAGCAAATAAACACTATAATTTTAACAATAATTCGTCAGGCAGTCGTCGCAGGCAGGCCAGTTGAATGCATTATCGTTAGCCAATCCAATAAATAAGAAAAACACATAGATACATATATACATATTACCATACATAAATACTCTCGTACATATACACTCGTATGTATGTATAACGAACATCATATATAATACATATATTCCTTAACTCGTTTAAACACGATTAGAAAAACAAAAAGAACAATATATATATATATATATATATATATATATATATATAACTAAATAAAACCCACAAGTGTTGCACATTTATTAGTTAGCTTAGCTAATTAGTTATTTAGTTGAGACATTTATAAAATCATAAATAAATAATCAATAATATTTAATTGCGACAATTTTAAATCTCAACATAATCCTATGTCGTTCATGCGTTATTTTGTGCGCAGATTGAATTGTTTTATTTGAGATACAGATATTAAAAAAGAAAAACAAATGCAAATAAAGATACAGGTTACCCATGGAATGTCAAATATTCATACAACTAGCTCAAATTTGTGTACAAAACTTTTTAAATCTATTTTTGAAAGCAAGAAGTATGGCTATCGTTTAGTCTTAAACGAAGTTTTTAATATATTCCTGAAGAGATATTTCCGTTTTAAAAAGGAATTTTATGCTTGATTCCAGATAAATTGTGCTTTAATCCTACACTTTTTACATATTTTTAGATATTTATATTTGATTCCAGATGAATTGTGCTTTACATATTTGAAGTTATTTGAACTTGATTTAATCTACTCAACATGTAATATTAAAGCCATATTTTATAATGCACGACTTCTGATTAACATTTCACTGCATGCATGCATTCATTTTTGATTAAAGCAAAACGGGATTAAATCGAAATAAGTCCATATAAATACCACACTTTAAAACAGGTTTTCAACACAAATTCGGCTGGCATCACTCATTAAGTGAATTTGAATACCTTTGTATTACATTTTTGGCATGTCATGTGTAACGCATAAAAGCAAACAACTTCGAATTCCCTTAAGTAAATAGATATATATGTATCCGTACCTTCTTGTTTTTTCTCTTAATAGTAATCAAAGAGGACTCTGTTTACATATTCTTTGAGATTAAACATAAAACCTTTGCATCCAATTATATCCAATTTGCTTGCCCCGCCCTCAAAACCGCAAATTGGCATTATTTCAAGAAGCAGCACAGAATAACGCATTGAAACTATAACACAATATGATCACATAATTATAATTTTTAAGTAACAAAAAGAAAATCTCGAAAAAAAAACTATGAAGTAATAAAATTTAATATAATTAAGGTAAATAATATAAAAATGTTAGGAAACTCTGAAAATATAAGAAAAAAGAAATGCAAATGTTTATGATAATGAATCTGAATCTGAATCGATATCTGAACTTTCTAGAAAATTTTTTAAAATGGAGAGTTAACAAATGCGCGAATCCGGCTTTACTCCGTCTCCCTCTCTCTCTCTCTTTTCTCTCTCTCTTTATATCTCTCTCTCTCTCTCTCCTCTCTCTCTCTCTCTCTCTCGCTCTCTGTCTGTCTATCTATCTATCTATCTCTCTCTTGCTCGATTTCTTACTGCAACAACTGAACGAGGCCACAAGGGAAACTGATCGAAACAACTCTGCGGTGCGAATGTGTGAATTGAGATGTTTGCATAATGTGAACAGATATACCCTGTAGAAGCCGAAGACAAACGAATATGGCATATACACTTATATCTTAACAAAGCTAAGATCTCGCTATGCCAGGGAAAACTTGTTTATTGCGTTACTTTCGTTGTTGAAGATATATATATGAAGTTTTGGGCGCCGTTTAAAACACTTTTTGGAGTCTTTAGCTTTTGCGTTTTGTTTGGAATGTATGCTTGTATGCATGTATGAGGTTGTGTGTATGTGTGTGTGAAAGTCTGATTGCATTTGGGTGTGAGTCCGAGCGAGTGAGTGTGCGACTTGTATGCAGCTTGTATGCAGAGTTTTCTTGATCACGTTTCCACCATGCACGAGTCCAGCGCCTGCAGATAACGGAGAAGCACCCAACTACCGATAACCGATTACCGATAACCGATTACCGATAACCAATAACCGATACATGATTACAAAAATATTGCATCAAATCAGCAGCAGCAACAGGAGATGCAGATGAAGAAGAAACAGAAGCAGAAGCAGAAGAAATTTTTGAGGATTAAAATAATGATCATAAAAAATAAACAGAAGGCAGCTGTTCTAATTCTTGTTCAGGGAAACCGGCAGAAACTTTATCGCAACACTAATTACAAAAATCCAAACCAAAAATAAAAAATAAAAAAAAAATATACATATATATATTTTTACTTTATTCTTCCTCCCCTCCCCTTCTCTTAGCAATTTAGGTGCTCAATATACTATATAGTCAAATATGTAACCATTTTGAGTGCTATAAACTGCAAAAAACAAAAAACAAAATCTAGTCAAGAAAATTTCCCCAATTACAAAATCAAGATCTAAGTCGATCCAAGCCAAACAATATTATAAATTAATTAAATCAGCCACAAAGAGTCTGAAATAAGAAACAAAAACAAAAAAGAGCGCCACAATTAATATGGAACGCAATGACAAAATAATGAATTCAATTATTACAAATAAACAACTATTATATCCAAAGATATACATATGCACACACGAATATCGTCTCAAGGGTCGATTCGCCTTACAAAAACACATACACCCAGACATTTAGTATGAATCCAATGATAACAGATGGTCGGGAGAACTGCAGGGAGCAGATGATCTTCGCCGGATTCGGAACCGGCATTGGAACCGGAACCGGAACTCAGCCCAGCCAGCCAGCCGCCACAGCACGAGCGCAACAGCCACATGGAGCCTCAGGCCACGTCTTCTGCACCACTTTTTTAGGGTACTGGTGAAAAAAAAAAACAAAAAAAAAACAAACTTTCAAAAAAAAAAAAAAAAAACAACAAAGTACTGCAAAAAATTGAGAAATTCAACCATTGAAATCGTTTGACATTTCGTACACCATTTTTATATATGTCTATCATTCTATATTAACTATAAACTTAGGTATAGATACTACATACATACGTAATACATACTCTTTAAACTCCACAAATAACACAAAATACGCATTTGCTCGTTTCTCTTAAGTATATAACATATATATATACACGAATCACATTAAATACGAATCCCATTAAACAATTGTGAAAGTCTCGTTTCCGATGCCAGCATCTTGGGCTTATAACATTACGTTCATTCACTTCTGTTATCAATTTAAACGTTATCGATTATCGATTATCGATACATTCCATGCTTTGCATAACCGCATTCCGCTGACAGTATATTGCTATCATTATAATCGCAGGTGGGCATTAATATATCGATAATGATTGATTATTTAACGAAATTGAAATCCTCAGTTTTCTCTCGCCATTTTTTCGACCTGTTTCACCTCTGCATCCATTTCATAAAAAGCTTATATTTTGCTTCCAAGTGCTTTAGTTGTTGCCGATTACTGTACTGCTTATGTAGAATAACAAAGATAGAGCATCGTGCTCAATTGACATCTATATATGTGTTAAAAACTGTTTGTCCCAGCTGATTAATTGATTAACTTATAGTCAACAAACCATAATAGATAGAGCGGTTTTATGAAACTTGTTTTTAACCCATTCGATCGGCATCAAACTCATTTATAAAGATTCAAATTCTCAAAATCATTTAAGAGCTGATTCGCATATTCCACTCTTCCTGAGTGGAAAAGAACTTCGTTTCAGAGCTCTCTACATAAAAACTTAATTGATAGGCGTTTCACAGATCAAGGGAATTCCACGCGCAACTGTGGAAAATTCGTGAAAACCCGTTTTAAGCTACCTTGCGATGGGCTTCAAACTCAATTTCAATGTTCTTTGACTGGTCAGCTGCACAATTTTGGTTCCATATGTGTACAGAAAGCGTTCTTTAAGAGGTAGTGATGGGACTCACCTAGAACGAGTGGAATATTAAGCATTGCTCGCACTTCAGAGCCTCAGCATTACGCCTAGAGAAATATCAACTACGATTACCTAAGATCCTAGAATAAAGGTGGCGGTGCAGTTGAACTAGTTCTTCATAACCCAATTTAGTGAACTATTCGAACTATCATGTGTGGGTGGTGTGGCTAAAGTTATTATTCTCAACTATGATAATACGTATTTGCGGAAACCCAGGCTATCATCCAGCATTCTTTCGTACTAACCACACCATCTATTTTCATATATATATATATATAAACTTACATACAAATACATGCATACATATAAGAACTAGACACCAAAAAAAAAAAGAAAAATATATTTAATAATAATATTACAAATAAATCCTAACTAGTTTAAATAGTTTATAAAAATAGATTTTAAGCTAGCTTTAAGCTGCTGCCCTGGAAATTGCTTTAAGAGAGAAAGAGAGGGTGAGAGTGTTGTGTGAGAGAAAGAGAGAGGGAGAGAGAGAGAGTGAAAGAGTAAGAGAAAGAGTGCTTGTGAGTTTGTGTTGTTGAAAAGCGAGCTGGTTTTTGTTTGTTTTTATAACATTTTGATGGGAAATCCGTGCATCAAGCCAAAAGTTTGTTTCACATTTGTGAGTGTGCAAGTCTTTCGTATATATTATATACATATATATATATATATACATTATTATATATTGGATTTGATCATGTAGCTTGTTTGCGTTGGATGTGTGAATTAAAGGCTAAGGACTTTGTGAATGCGATGGACTAAAGCAATTTCCAAGCTCAGAGCATTGCAAGCATATTATATTATATGTATAATATATGCCTTAAGACTTAACCCCCTTAAGACTTAAACCCCCCCACCCACAAAAATACTCAGACACAACATGACCCCTGAAAAGTATACACATATATATATACCCAAACCCAAAGTACAGCCAAGTTGTTGGCTAAAATAGAGAGCAATCATTTTAATAATATATATTTTAATTTTAGTATTTAGCATTAAGCTCTTTATAGTTATGTAAGCTGTCGGCCATATAAGAATTTGCTCTCTATTTTTACCTCCAATTGGCTGTCTGTCTCACTCTCCCGCTCCCCCCCCTCTCTCTCTCACTCTCTCTCTATCTCTGTCTATCTCACTCTCTCTGTCTCTCTTTCTCCAGCCATTCCTAGCAGTTTAGCGCTTCACCCCTCTTTTTACCCTGCGCGAAGTATTCTTATATATATACTTTCTCTTTATAATTATATTTTTTATTTTTTTTACTGATATTCTTATTTTTTATTTTTGACTTGACCACGCCCACAACTCCTACCCACCAGCCCCCTCTGCCCCCTCTGCCCCCTGCCCCCTGCCCCAACCCTCTTTAGAACCTGCACAATTGCCAGCATCTGTGTATTAAAGAAGCTTCTCTTATACTTGTAGATGTTGCCAACTTCATGGACACGAGCAACGCGCCCGCCAACAACTCCGCCTGGGTGGGCAACAATGGCAGCAGCAATGCCGCCGCCGTTGTCGCCGCCGGTGGAAGCGTTGTGGAAACGAAACATGAACTGGATTTGGGCATGATGCCGCCGCCGATCACGACACAGATACCGATGGGACTGCGCCGCTCCTCGTTGTCCGGGGCGACGCCCATGATAACGGATCAGCAGCTGGTGCATCTGAGCAGCGCGGATGCGGCACTGAAGAGCGAGCTGCTGGACGAGAACAGTTCGCTCAGCCCGCACACAGGCGAGGCGCTCCACTCACCGGAGGCACTCAATCCGTGCAGCCCCAATGCGCTGCAGTATCATGCGCATTATGCGCGCAAGGCCAGCCTGGACACGATCATGTACGATCAGTCGAATAGTATGCCCGGCTTTCCAGTGCCCGCTGCGTCATCTGTGGAACTGGATCCCGCCTCCGCGGTGGCTGTGGCCGTTGGCCTGGCCGTCAAGCACGAAATTGTCCAGCATGTGGTGCAGCAGCAGCAACAACAGCAACAACAGCAGCAACAACAGCAACAACAACAACAGCAGCAGCAGCAACAGCAGCAGCAGTCGGCTGCCAATGTGCACAAGTTCATTGATGATCTGACCAAGTCCACGTCTGTGGTCAACAGCAACGGCACCAGTGAGCCGGCGCTTTTCACCGGCTCGTCGGTCATTGACCACGCCCTCACGGACATACTGCAACAGAAGGTGGGCGTACTGTCGCACACGCACCCGCACACGCACACTCACGGACACGCCCACGGACACGGACACACAACGGCGACAGCTGCGCCCAGTGTGCTGAAGCGAAGCCTCTCCATTAGCAGCAACAACTCCAACTCGAGCTCGCTATCGGGCAGCGAAACATCACCAAATAGCTCGCCGCTAACGCAGGACATAATCCTCAACTCGGAGCCGGCGGCGGCCTTGGGCGCCGGCCTGCCATTGCAGCAGTTGACAGCGGTGCCCGCTGCGGCAGCTGCTGCTGCTGCTGTGGCCAACGCCGGCGGCGCTTTGTCCACGGACATCATCATGAATCCGGCTGTGTCGCCGTCAACCATACTCTGTTCAGCAAATGGCGCTGCCACCGCTGTGGTGGCCAACATATTGGCGCCCCATCAGGTGACCATGGCCAATTCGATACTGAACGACATCGCCATGCAGGCGGAGCCGACGCGCCAGGATGCCGCTGTTGCTGCCTTGGCGCTGAGCAACATTATGATGAGTCCGCCGAATGCCGCCGCTGGCGTCGATGTCGGTGATAGCCTGCCGCCGACACCCGCTGTCATGCAGCCGGAGGTGGCTGCCACAGCCACCTCGACGGCCGTTAGCAATATGATAATAAAGGCTGCAGCTGATTTTATAACAACACAAGAGCAGGAACAGCATCATTATCACCAGCAGCAGCAGCAGCAGCAACAGCAGCAACAGCAGCAGCAGCATGCGCATGCCCATTCGCATTCACATCCTCATCCACATACACATCCTCACCCACATCCACAACAGCAGCAGCAGCAGCAGCAGCAGGCAGCAAATGCGGCCGCCACTGGCGGAGATCCGCTTGTCAATCTGCTGTTAAACCACAGCACATCGGAAACAGTCGCCGTGGAGGCAGCCACCGCTGCCGCCGTCGCCGCCGGCTTCCCAGCACTGTCAGCTGTCCACCTGCCCGTTGTGCCGCCCACACCACAAGAATCTCTCATTGTTGCGCTGGCCACTGAGAATGCATTGCAAAAGTCTGTGGCCACTGCGGCCGTTACCACCAATGGAGCTGTGATGACACAGCAGGCATCGGCGCCCAGCAGCGCCGGCAGCATTCTGCCCGCTGCCGTTGGCGCCGTCGCTGCGGCCGCCGCAGTCGCTGTGCAGCCGCCCATACCCCAGGAGCTGACCACAATGTCCGACCAAGATCTAATCAGTTACATCAATCCGAGCACCTTCGATCAGCGTAAGTAGCTGCTCAACTCTCTCTCTCTCTCTCTCTCTATATATATATATATATATACACCTAAGTCTGTTTTTACACGGTCTTTTTTTACACGGTTTTGATATAACACGGTTTGAAAATTGAATATTTTTAATTTTTTTACACGATTTTATTCCATTTAGCACGATTTGAAATTTTATGTACATACTTAAATTTTTTTTGTCAAATTTAATTTTTGCGAAGTATGTTCATATCACAAAAAAGTATTTATGAAAGAAAAAAGTCTGAAACCATCGATAGTATCGATAGTGCTATCGATAGTTTGCGAACACTAGCTTAAAGATTTAAGTGAATTCCCTTTTAGCGCGTACAAGCAATTTTTACTGGTCAAAGCAAATGTGAATAGCACTAATTTAGGGGAATTCCCTTTATGTGCATACAATAAAATTTACTGGTCAGAGCAATTGAAACGTGTTAATATTTTGTGAACTGTCAATGCAATAGAGTGCATATCTTTTTTATCATTAATTACTATGCTTGTGAAAATAAGCATTATATATTTGATTTAATAAAATAAACATGAATTCTTGTTCTTAAAAATTCTTGTTTTTCACTAATTTTAATAGGTTTTAGAGATTAGGAACAAATCACCCATTTTTGTATACGATCAATGTCTTTTTTTACACGGTTTTTTTACACGGCTTCTTCTGGAACCAATCTACCGTGTAAAAACAGACTTAGGTGTATATATAAATATATATGATTCAAGCAAGCGTCGGACTAACAAGCGAGAAGTCGCCGGTTCGATCTTATCGTTGTTATTATTCACAAAGAAGATATAACATACAAATGGAAAATGAATCTGAGCTTAGCAATAATATTTAGAATTCCAATTTATTTTACTTCCAAACCAAAAGAGTTGTTTAAACCCTTCTTTTTCTTTTTAAAAAAAATCCTTTTCAATTATAAATTCGCATTTAATAATTGCTTTTCTTTCTCTTGTTTTTCAGTTTAAACGGCGACAGATCAACAAATTAAACTATTGGGTTATTTTAATCAACTAAGGGGAAACCACACAGGCCTAATCCTAAGCGTAAACACATAAAACACACACACACACACACACACACACACACAAACACACAGTTTAATGTGGACCAAATTTCTTGTATCATTCGGTTAGCAGAACTAATTTTACCACCAATGAGAAAAGTGCAATGAAAATCGCCTCTCTCTTTCACACCCACACACACAAGCACACAGACACACACGCACACACATTTGTATAGTTTTAAGCACACTTGTTAAGCTGTAGACCCTATAGATATACCATTTTTTTTTGTTTTTGTTACATTTAAATTGATTTTTTGTCAACAAAAGTCAAATTATCTCAAAAATGATAACGACTGCCATATAAATACATGAATAAAACACAATCAATCGCCCCAACTAAATAATAATACATAAAAAACAAATCAACAATTGCAGTTAACAAATTAAATATACATTTTAAAACAGATTTTAACTATTTAATTAATTTTCTATTTGCGTATTATTATTTTGTTGCGTTTATGTCCCGAAACTTTTTGAAAGTTCAAGTCTGATTTGATATACATACATATATATATAAAACAACTATATATAAATATTTCTATTTTTTTTTTTTTTTTTTGTGCAAAATATATATTTCATATTTTTATTATTATTAATACTTATTATTATTATTTTGTCTTCTGTTAAGGGGTTTGCAAAATGAAAACAACAAAAATTATCTACATACATGTATAAATATTTATAGCTACGAATATGAATATGCGAAAATTCCAAAAGACTTTTTATTTAAAAACAAACAAAAAAAAAACAAAAGGAAAAACAAAAACTTTCTTTCATACTGTTCAAGTTTTAAATGTTTAAACTATATCGCAAAGAACGAGGAAACAGCACGCACACAAATATAACAAATATTTTTTATGCTAAACATTATAATTATAATAACTATAATGTTTATTATTATGATCATTTATTGTTAGTAGCTGCTAAATGTAGTCGTAGTCATAGGCCACAAATCAGAGTTACCTAAAAATTACATAGATATATATGCCGTATACCAGATAGATCAAATGTCTGCGCATTGCTTAGTATTACCCCCCACGCATAACAAAAATAATAAAAGAGCCTCCGAAGAATGAAATATTTTACATTTATACATTTATGGAGTACACTTTGCAATAATTGTTAAATTTGCTTCGATTTTATAGAGGACAACAGTCACAAAAAAAAGAAGCAACAACAAATAAACCCCTCTTGAATATGCATTTGTATACCCTGTACCTACAATTTGTTGTACGATATTTATACATAAATATTTATTATATGTAAAATTAAAGCATAGAATTTGACGAATTTCGACGTGAATTGAATATATGAATAATAAAGGAACAGGCTGCTACAGTTAATTTCGATTAAAGTATAAAAACGAATAACCTAGATTACGATGAGCAAACAAAGATTTAGATCAAATGCGATTTTCACAATATTTCAACAGTCCACACAAGTCCGTAGTGTTTCGTACAGCCCAATTTCGGGTCAATCAAAAACTATTAGTTGTTACGTAAATGTGTTAAACAGTCTCAGAGATTGCATCTATATATGTATATGTTATATATGTATATATATATTCCTCAGAATTACAAATATACATTGATGGTAAACAACTATTTTTTTGTAAACTAAGTATACGTGTATCAAGGAAGATTATATATTATATTTTATTTCTGCCTAAATATGCTCGCAGAGTCAGGAAGAAACCTCAGAATCGAGAGAAAGAGCAGGCTAAAAAAAAATTGTTAAACTTTAAACATATTTACACATAAACTATATCGATATTTAACATATACAGTAAAATAAATGTATTTTTGGATGTCCTTATTGCTGCAAGTCAAAATTAGAAATCAAAATTTGAAGCGTATCAGTCAATTGTTACCAAGAACTCTTTAAATTCAATGCGAAAATAGATACACTTTCAACTTTCCCCAAGTTGGATTGACTAATGTTTAAAACAAATTCGAGTACGCACTATTTTAATCGACCAGATCTTCTATATAAATATATATAGTATAAATATTGTTATAGTTCATAGTTAAAAGGTATCACAAAAATTTTCTTAAGAAACTTGTGTGCTTTTGTTTTGTTTTTTTTTTTTTTTTAATATATATATATATCTATAAATATATATATTTGCTGTATCTTTCCGTTTCTAAACCAAACCTCGAAACTCGTCTTCTTGATGTGTATGTGAAAAATGAAAAATAAAAACAAATCTACATGTATGCATGTAAGAAAAATATAAATGCGTGCATTTTTAATTACTTGTCGGGAATTTATGAGACTGCCCATGTTCAGAATCAGATGCGTAGGCCGATGCGTTTCTTGGACGCCTTCGACTTGGACTCCACCGACGAGTTACGTCCGCGTCCCAGCCGCTTGCGCAGCGCCATTGCTTTGAAGCGTGATTCCAAATCATAACCAGGTAATATGAGGTTCTCCTTCATCAAGAGCGCGGACCACAGCCAATCTGGTGGCGATGAGCTCCGTGGCAGCTCCTCTGGCATCGAGCACTGTGGCAGACCAAGTGTGACACAATGGCACCGATCAACATATACGATGGGTACTTACGCTTAGTGAGTAGGGTGGCGTAGACATAGGTAGGTGACAACCGTGTCTTGAAATTCGAAATATATTAGATGGTTTAAGCACAATGGGTAAAATATTTATTGTATAACAAAGATTTGAAAGGTATAATAACAATATGTACAAATGAGCTACTATGATTACAAATATGCCAGGCAATTCCTGCCCAGCTAACTAGAATTTAAACAGAAACTCAGCGGTAGGCAGAGCGCAACGTGCACGATGCGATTGCCGTATCCAATCCGTGATCACAGCCTGTGGGGGATGCGTAGTGAAATGCTCCTGATACCATTGCTTAAAATCCTGCAGATTCAGTCGGCTCGAACATACAAGCACAAAGGTCATGCTCTGATGATCTGATTCGCTAACCAGCTGCCCTCCACGTTGGATGAAGAGCAGCCTGGCCAGCTCATCTGCATCACGATTATAAAAGCAGGCATGGTGCTTGGCAAAAATGTTGTAACTGGAAGTGCCAAGCAGTTGCTGCTCCAGTTTGTCCAACTCATGCTCATCCACATGCACAGACTCCAATTGCGTCTCGGTTATATCCAGCAGTACTTCGTGTAGCTCGTTCAGGCTGCTAAACGGGTCCGTAAAGCTATCACCCAGCTTGTCAAAACTCTTGTCAAACTGCGTCTGCAGCGCATCGGTGGCTGACAGCACATCTCTGGGACGCAGCTCGATCTGCTGTTTCTGGCACACACGCAGCAGCCAATCCAGCCGTAAAATGTCATTGCAGCGCGGCTGTTGCTGCATCAGACGCTGCACCAGATAGACAAGATCACCGGCTATGCAAATGCACTTCGGATCGTTGGGCAATGGATTCTGAACAATGGTGCCGCCATTCTGTGCGGCCAGTGTTTGTAGCTGCTGTTTGCTGTTCCCACGTGTGCCGCTCAATATGCAAAAGCTGAATCCCTCAAACAGCTGAGAGCTGTTCGCCAAGGGCTGGACATCATAACGCTTCTCATAGGCAGCCAAGCCGAGGCGGTTGCGTTCGGCCGTCGTCAACTTTATACGTTTGCGATCCGTAGTAAAGTCATTTAGGTTCGCCTGGCGCTTGTTAAGTTTCTTTATGACGCCCCGACCCTGCAAAAAATTATGTTTTATAATTTTAATACATTTGATTAACTCTTTCTGCATGCCCACTCTCACCTGACACAGTTCTGTATACTCCTGCAGCGACATGCACTCGTTCCACACCTTGTCATCGCGCAGGAGCTGTGTGCGCGGAAAGTGCAGCGACTTGGGTGTATAGAAGGCGCCATTGGGCGTCAAATCCGCTGCCTTCACCTGCAATATGACGGACTTTTCGGGCTGAATCCAAACGTCGGGTGATCCCTCCTTCTCGTTAGGCTTGTAATGATACCACAGCGGCGGTGGCTCTGTGCTCGCATTGCGCCAATGTGGCCTCAGCTCATGATGGAGCACGGTGCGCTGACGCGTATTATTGGCCACACAGCCAATGCTGTACACCTCGTCACGCTCCGTTTCGCCGCCAGGCTTAAGCACGCCCAGCAAAAATGATTCAATGAACGTCCGTTTGCGATTGTAAAAGCCACCAATGATGAGCACATCGAACTCGGTTATAAGACCCTCGATATACTGCACATAGAGAGAAATAAGAAAAAGTTTTTTTCATAATTGAGTAACTTCAGACTCACATCCGCTTTGTCCTTGTACCAGCCGCCGCCTACACGCACTCCGGGCTTATAGATTGAGTTTTGCTTTTTAAGAACAATGCCCTCCGCATTGGAGTCAAGCATCTGCTGGAAGAGCGTATTAAAATGATCTAGGGAACTTATTTTCTGTCCCTTCATTATTTGCAACACGCCCTGCTGTTCGCTGAGCAGCTCCTGCAGCTTGTATGTGCGCTGCACGTACGTCATATCCAGGAGGCTCTCCCCGTTCAGATAGAGCAGATCATAGACCACAAAGCAGGGCCGCCAGCTGCGCTCCGGCTTCAGATGTTTCACGTCTGTGTTCTCGCCCTTCTCGCGATAGCGCAGCTGCTGCGTATCCCAGATCATCATCTCGCCGTCCAGTATTATAGACTCCATGCCCAGGGGCAAAAGTGGACGCAGATGGGGCGTCAGTGTGCCGCTCTCGTAGCTGTCGCCAAAACTTTTCGTGTAGTCGGCGCCCTTGCGGGATATATATTTAAATCGGCCGCGCGCATAGTGCAGCTGAAAGCGTTCGCCATCCATTTTGGTCTCTAAATACAGCACATCCGACTCCATAAGCTCCTCGATCTTGCCGGGAAACCTTTCACACAACATGGGCCGTATTTGATGAAAGGGCTCAATGAACGTGTTCAATTTAATGACTGCGCTTGTGCCGCTGCCGCTGCTGCTGATGTTGCTAGTCGTCGCCTCCGGCAAAAGCTTATTATCCGCGAGCAGCACACAAATGCGTGCCAGATCTGAGCAGCGTTGGTACATGTCCTTCGCCAAGGGATGCAGCAAGCCGAAGATTCGCTGCTCGCCAATGCCCAAACCCATTGACTTGAGCAGAATGCGTATCAGCCACTTTTGCTCCTGGGCGGAGGACAGCTCCGTAAAGCGTATCAGTTCGCGTTCCTTTACTGCAGAAAGAAATGCAGAAATAATCTAATTAATTAGATAATTACATATTTTTGTATGTTCAATGTTGGTCAAGTTATTCTTTGCAAATTCCTGCACTAGGATTATGCACGACAGTCCATGGAAACCCTTTACCCAGTTGCACGCGGTGCGACTGGACAAAGAGCCACAGCTCAGAGACAAAGTCAATGCAAAATAGATTGTGTAAAATATTATATATATTTTAAACAAAATCCAGACAAATGGACGGGTCGGGTGGCCTAGTCGACTAGGGATTGTTTTTCCAATGAAGCTCTGTGGGATCGGAGATTCCTTCTGCCTTGCATGCATGTGTATACCATTTGAATGTGCATAATGATGGGTATCTAGCAAATGAGACATTCTACTTATGCTCATACGTGTCTTTTACAGAGACTCCCTACTGTGCACAGGTACCAGTGAGTATTTTGAGCACCTACCAGTTGTGTCTTCGCTGGCAATAATGTCGAGCATTTCATGGATTTGCTTGAGTGTCAGGTTGCTGGGTTCATTGTGGCAGCGGGGCAGCAGCACAGCATGCACCACATCAGCATAGTCACGGAACGTAGACACAGTACGATGCTGCAGCCGTATCGCATCATCAGCTGGACGAAACAACAGACATTAATTGGATGTTGCATGATGTTGCCGCTGGTATTGGCACTCACAATCTTTGGCTAGCTGCAGGACGCGCGTGTATAGTCGCCCCAGGGCGGTTATCTGCAGGCCGTAGTTGTCGCGCGAGGTGTCCGCGCCAGGTATTAAGAGACGCAGCACCGGATAAAAGCTGCTGGCACCGTCCTCTACCTGGTTCCCCGTCAGACTGGCATTCTGCCGGAATGTCTCCCGATGTTTGCAGAAGGAATCGTAATAGCGCTTTAGAATGAGCTCCTTGCGCTGCATGTTTTTGGCCACTTTAACCCGCTCCATCATTGTGCATATGTCACGAAATTTTATGGTGCTGGAAATGTCCATGGTGCTTTTATTATGATTTCACCAGCAAGAATACAAAATTGCAGTAGGCAAGCGGTAAAATATTTATCGATAAATCAGAATCGATGTCAATATTTTAGAACCTTTCCATAGTATTTTCTTTGTTAGTATCTTGACATT